TTGGGTGGTCGCGAAGAGTCGTTTGGATATGTGGTAGAGCTTGAACTGCCCCCCCACGAAGTGGGGGTATTGTCTCGCGTCGCATGAAAACCCTGGCACTGGTGAGAACACTGAGCGTTCGGGTAAAATGATTGTTGTTGTTGTTGTTGTTGTTGTTGGCTTTGTTATTGATCTATACAAAAAGTATGTTTCTATCTATCTCTATATATGTATATGTTATATACATATATATGTGCATCTCATTTTCGATATATATATATATATATATATGTGCATCTCATTCTCGATATATATATATATATATATATACCAGTCCTGCCCTTTTCGTCCCAGCCTCTCCTGCCGCCCGCTTTCCCCTTCGCAGCTTGCGGGGCTCAGGGTCTCTGGGCTCCGGCGGTGGCGCTTCACGGCGCTTTCTTCGCGGTCTGGTAACGTCAGGGGAGGATTCGCTCCGGAAGCTACTCTGTCGCAACGGCGTGCCAGATTCCGTTGTGAACCACCTCGTCGGAGTCGGGCGCTGCGGGGTTTTGCAGTTCGCAAGGTGGTGCATCAAGGAGGAGGAAGTTTAAAGCGACGTCTTGGATAACGCCGACAGGGACGATTGGCGTCCTGGCCTGCCTGAAGGTGGCGTGGGTCGAGGCTCAGGAGCTTGCCACGGTCGCCTTGAAGGCCTTTGACACCTAGTGTACGAGGGGGCAGGGTCGCTCATGCCAGAGCCAAGATGCAACCGTCTTCGCTACCGCCGTCCTCGGTACGAGGTTCTGGGCAACGCGTTGGCTGTTGATGGGTTTTTTGCCGTTCGCGAGGGTGACAGGGCAAACCTGTTTTGTAGCTGACATGGCTCATGCTGGTGCGTGGCGACGCCGTTGGACAGAACGGAGACGCTGAATTACACGTTCGCCCAGGATCTTGCGGTGGCCTACCTGGAGAGGTGGATGAGATCTTTCGTGGCCATGTCATTGGGGAGGTGCGCAGCCGCATGGAGGTAGTCTGGATGGGAAAACCAGCGTTCCAGGCTCTCGTAGATAATCGCCGCGCGAAATCGGTTTCGTTCATGGATGCAAGATGAGGAACGTTTGTCTGTCAAGTTCTGCTCATCGTGGTGGTCTTCCAGGGGAGGCCCTGGCACATGCCAGAAGGGCGAAGTCCGCGGGCGCGGCCCAGTGCTCGCCAAGTCCCGCCAGGCGCGCGGGCAGCGCCACAAGCCGGCCAATCACGACGAGAATATCAGGGCCGCCCAACCGACCCGAAGCAAACCATCCCTTTCCGTGACGCCACCCAGACGTATGTATGCGGCCGGAGGGGAGCTCGAAAGGCGAGGATGACGCCACGGAAGGGGATGGTCTGATAGGGGTCGGTTAGGCCGCGCCCGAGACGACGCGCGGCGATCCTCTGTCAGCCTGACGGTGTTTGGCCCCTGCGACGAGGCGAGCCCCCGAAGTGTGGGCGGGGGTCTGGCCGTCCGCCAGGTCTGGTGTCTCGCCCTTGGGGGCTTCCCAAGTGTAGGCTCAGTGTGCTCTTGCGGCTGTTCGCCGACGCGTGCCCAATCGCCGCCGCGATAGAGAATGCATGCAGGTGGACGTTCTGGACAGGTGTGTCTGGGAGTCTGTAAACGACGCGTTCTACGTTGGGCATTGCAAATGCCACCGCGTGCGCTGCATGGGCAGGAGGCCCGTTCCACGCCGAACTTGGTGTTGCAGGTGATGTGGATCCGCCCAGATAGTAAGTTTATATTTGCTGCGAGCGTGGTCGTGTGCGCGCGGCCCTCCCAGTCTATCCTCTTTTCACTCCTTTTTCGCCTTCCCTCTTTGCCTCCATCCCTTCGGGTCTCTTTGCCTTCGGGGCCCGTAAAGTGGCGAGTTTGGTCGCGGCCTGGATCGGGTGTGGGCGCGGAGTGAGGGGGCGCGGTGGAAGGGTGGGACATGGTGGGGGGGCTGCGCTCAATCTTCTTTGAGGGAAGCGTGAGGAACGCGAAGAATGCAGGCCTCCTGCAGACGCGCTGGGTATTCAGATAGATGCAGTCTCTACGCCTTGCCTCCATGCCCATTCGGGCCCCGGCTCCGCTTCTCGCCGGGGGGGTGGGTAGCGGGGTTGGGAGCTGTGGGCGTCGGGGGAATGGTGGGCGGAGAAAGAAGACACATGTAGAGCCCGTATGCCTGTCCAACTCGTGACACCAACGCTCGAGGGGGGATTCGTCGATGGGACCACCCGTGAGCAACCTCTGGAAGAAGTGTGGCGGCATCGACATGTTGAGGAACCGCTCCCTGCCATGCTCACGCATGTGTTGTCGTTTGGGTGGGTCCAGCGTGGGCCCGCGCAGAGGGAACTTCCGACTCTTGATCATGACTGGTGGTTTCCCGGCGGGGGCTTCATGGGCATCGGGTCGCTTGGTGTTCGGGGGCGGAAAAGAGGGGGGTGATGACTAGGGGGGGGTGGATATCATGGCGGGGGCCAAGACATTTCCCCAGATTTCATGGCGCCTCTTCTTATTTCATTACGTCCCTGGCCCACCCGCTGGGCCGCGCACATGCCGCCGGTCATGATTTGCACCCCCCCCTCTTGGACACCCCCCTCTTGGCCGCTCCCGAGTAAAGGACGACGCATTGTTTGATGTGAAAGCCGTTGCTGTGGACACTCGTTGGTCGCAGGCTGCCAAGCATGCCAGCGGCGAGGGCATTTCGGCAGTTGTCGACGCAGTTCGGTGCCGTTCGGTCTGCAGGTCCGCGGTCTGCTGGCATCTAGCTGGCTATTTATGGGGGCGGCGCTTGGTCGCGCAATCGCAGGGCAACGCTTGCTGAGCATCGAGGGGGGAGTGAAGCTGAATTGGCGGAGTTCCTTGAATGCACTCGCTGTCGGGGAGCATCAGAGACATCGCATCATCGTTCGTGGACCTGTCGTTGCAATCAGGACTTTCCTGCCTTACGGCTGGTGCCGCCGACCCTGAAGACGACGAAGATGAAAACGAGCGAGGGGAGGTAGGACGCGGAGGAGGAGGAGCAGGAGGAGGAGGAGGAGAAGGAGGAGGAGGAGGAGGAGGAGTGGGAGGGGAAGAGGAAGGATGGAGGAGGCGGATGAGGGAGGAGGAGGGGGGGGGAGTGATGAGGAGGAGGAGCAGGAGGAGGAGGAGGAGGTTCCTATTTCTAAAGCTCGTGGTGATTTGATGCCTTCTGCGGGTTCACAGCGTGAAGTGGAGTGTGTCTGGTCGCGCGGACTTATGCGAGCTGCTTGGGCGCAAACACCAGAGCTCCAGTTTTGTGATGGGTGATCCGGTTCATGTTTGGCATTTAGCGGACCTGGTTGTTTACTTCAGTGCACGTCGGAGTTTCCCACCATCATTCTCGGGGACGCCAGCGGTGGAGCAGACTCGTCTGACCCGCGCTTGAGGCAAGCGGCTCTTGGTGTAACGGTGTTGCATAGCGAGCAGTCCAAAGTGCGTGGAAGCTTCTATGGGACGATTGCAGGGACGCTTGACAGGGTGTTTGGGGAGCTTGCAGGCTTGAGAGAGGTGCTTCGCAGGAGCTTCAGAAGAACTGCGAAGGAGCTGCGGAAATAAAGGCTTGCGGCACGCGTATTTGGAACGAAAAGGAAAACGCTTGCCCGAACACGCTGCAGCTTCACAGGAGTTGCTGTGGGGAGGCCTGAACGGCGCCAGAAGAGCTCGCACCCTGCGCTGCGGGCTTCTAATCTGAAACCTTCCTAGCTCTCGAAGAGCTATCGGGGAATCTTGCAGTCCTCCAGTTGTGGGCGCCCATATTGCTGGAGGTCCCGCAGGTCTCTAGCGATCAGTTCCCCGGGGAGATTTGAAGTCATTGTGGTTAGCTATATGGGCCAGCGCTGCGCCCATTCATCATATCACCGACTGTGAGACCGTGAACATTGGGGCCAGAGAAAGTATGCAGAACCTCGCGGCGCGGATGCTGATGCATGGGCTTAGAGTCAGCTGCTCATGTCCACGCGTGATGCCGATGAAATCGAGGTTTGGTTTGTTCACTCGCACTTGACTGGTCGTTCTATTGTTGCTGGGTGAACCCATCGAGTGTGCTTGATGGGCAACGCTATTAGTTATCATCTTCTCTGTGCAATGGCAGATGGCGTCCGACTGGACCCAGAAATGTGTCATCGTATCCTTGACATCGAGCGCCCGGCCTTCCTGGCGAGGCACAGGCTGATCCGCGCGGCCGCGGGCTCCATGCCAGCGATTTCCAGGATGTGGAAAGGAGAAAGGAGAGTGGGCATCCTGCTCATCTCCCTCTTCCTCCACCTCCTGCCGCTCCTGCTAAGAGTATCGTGTGTGTGTTTTCACGAGGAGCAACGAGTTGGACGACAGTGGTCGGAAATGCACGCGTTGTTTTGGGTCGGCCTTCCTGGAGAGTCTCGTGGTTTGGAGACACGCCCCGTGTTGCACGCCTCTGAATTTCAACGAGGGCTGCCATGCGGTCCCTTTCGGATACCGTCTGCGCGTGGCTGGAGACTGGGTACACGAAGCGCACGGGTTGAATTCAAACACAAAGTTCGGTCTCTGGTTTTGCGGAAGGTGCGGGTGTTTCGCCAGCCAACAGTGTGAACGAGCCACACCAACAGGAGAGGGATATTGAAGGTTGATCCGCCAACGACGCTGTCCGAAAATCCCAAGCAGTAAAGTCGAGGAGGCGAAACGGTCTGAGGCCAGGTGTTGTCTCACCTCCGCGGTCGATGCTCCGTTTTGTAAACTTAGAAAACGGACATTCTCATTCTCATTCCCCCCATTCCCCCCCCTCCTCTCTCCCCTCCCTCCCACTGCCCCCCTTGTCCCTGGGCGGCGAGACCCTTCGCCCTCAGCCGCGCGCTTTTCCTGCCCCCCTTCAGTTCCCCCCCCCCCTCGTCCCGCTCTCCCATTCGCCTCCTCCTGCCCCTCCTCCCCGCAGCCCTGCCCCCCCGCCATCCGCCCTGCCCCGGGCGTCGTCATTCGGCCATCTCCGCTCCCCCTGCCCTCTCTATCCCCGCCGACCTCCGTGCGGGAGGCTGCCAGGATCGCGACGATCGTCACCATCGACGATGAGTGGAAGGCCGGCTGGGCGGCCCGTGCGCGCGCCCTCCTCGTCGCCCCCCATCCATCTTACAGTCGGGGCGCTGAAGAAGGAACCCTTCTCGTTAGGGAGGGGTTCCGTGCTCCTTCATTGTTTTACAGCTTGCCTGAGGTTTTCCTTGGGTTTTCGATGGGAAATCAAAGTTCGACTTATGGAAAAATGGGGCCCCGTTCCTTATTTAGGGTTCCTTAGGTCAACGCCTCGACTGTACATGCCTTGGCATCCCCCTGTCCCTCACGCTCGTCGCAGGGTTGTGTAGCCGTTGAGTTTGATGTCAGCTTGGTTGCTGGCGCCGTCGATGCTCCTGTATATGTGTCCCTCTGCGCCCCTACTCCTAGGTCCCTCTCAGGATCCCCCCCTTCCTGAGAGAAGCCCGCTGCGCCCCTTTCCCTTCTTCCTCCTCGCTTTTATCCTCCCCCCTTTTCCCCCCTCCCCCTCCGCCTGCACCCTTCGCCTGCTGTCCGCCTCGGCCCTAGGTTCTGCTTCAGAAGATGGATGCCCTCAAGCAGACCGTGGGCCTTGCCGCCTACAAGGAAGCGGGTCGAGGGGCCGCGGTGGGGAAGTGACGGGGAGTGGCAGGGGCAGCGAGGGGGGAGGAGGCGGGAGTGCTTGCTGCTGTCGTGAGCTTTTGAAGCTGTTTTTTTTGCCAGCATCGGGCCGAGGCGAGGTGAGGAGGGAGCTGAGCAGAGAGGCGAGGTGGGGGAGGAAGGTGGGGGGAGGGGAGGACTGGGAAGAAGGCGGGGGGGGGGGAGGACTGGGAGGACTGGGAGGAGTGGGGTGGGGAGGAGGGGAGGACGTGGGGGGAGAGGGGAGGACTCGGAAAAGAGAGAGGGGCGGGTGCGCTGGCGGGGATCTCCGCGGGAAGGTCCTGCCCCACACCCCCCCTTCTGGCCCCCCGTCCTCGCTGCCCCCGCGCCCCCCCCCCCCCCTCCCTGCCGCCCCGCCCCTCCCCTCCCACGCCTAGCGCCCACCGCTCTCCTCGGGCTGCACACCGCGTGGTCGCCTCTGCACCCAGCCCGGCCCTTGGCCGATCCTGGACCCGGCGTCGCGCTGCACCCGCGCCCCGATGCTGGGCCCGGGAGGGGCCACGGGCCAGGACGGGTGTACAGTCAACCCGCATGGTAGGGATGGGCAACCTTCTCAAGGGCCTTTCGGCTCATCCATGGCGACTTTCGCTGGCCAACCTCGTTCGAAAAGTGCCCGCAGGGCCCTCCAGGGCCCTTGCATCCTTACCGCGCGTCCTTATGATACGGGTGGACTGTAGGTGTATAGTTGGCGTCCTGCGAATTATCTTCCCTCGGAGGAAGATGAAACAACCATGTCATGTAGGGGGTCCGCGTGGATTGCTTGGGTCCGCGCTGGTCCTCCCTAGCGGCGCCTCCGGCGCTGTCCCTGGCGCGCTCCGTGCGCCAAAGAGGTGGGCCCACCGCCGATCCAAGAAATCCGCGCGGACCTCCAAAACTTTATGTTTACGTCGTTCTTTGCTTCTTTATCCCATCCCCCCCTGCTCCGGGTTCCCCATCCCCCTCCCGCTCCCCCTCCTCTCCTCCCCCCTCCGTGCGCAGGCGTGTCGCGGTCGGGCCGCCTCAGGGGAATCTGCCAGGCGCAGAGGCTTCTGGGCCTTCCTGGTTTGCGCATATTTTTCTGGCCATGGAGCTGGGGCATGGGGATCGACCAACCTTTCCAGCTTATGCTCATAGCTTTCTCGTGGTTTCCTCTCAGTCCTTGGTGAGCCCGCAGCTCATGCGGAGCCGCAGCTCGTTTCCGTAGCCTGCCCCACAGTGTGCCCATCGCACTCCCATGGCCAACCTGGAGCCCGATCATGGTGCACGCGTGCCTCGATGACGCTCTTCTCTTGGCCGGCCCACGGCTTCGTTCATTGCTTGCACAGACCCCCGACGTCATGATTTTTTCAGAACGTCGACCCCCAGAGGTCTTGACCCATTCCCCGGGACCAGTTCGCCGTCCTGAGGCGTTTTTTTGACGGTCCTGAGGCCCGGTAAGGGCCCCCCGAGGCCGAAGATAGCGAAACATCTTCCGTCGTGATTTTTTCATGACTCGAGGCGGTCTTGGTGGGACGCACAACGCAACGCAAAGCGCAGACGCGGCCGGCTCACCCGTGGCCCCCCCGTCGCAGATGCTCGTTGGCCGCCCCCTGCCGGGAGCAGCAGTGCGCTCCCGCGGCCCGCAGGGCCGGAACCCGCTCAAGGAGTACCAGGTGCAGGGCTTCCGGATGTACGAGAAGTGCGCGGACAATTTCAAGGCGCCGGCGGAGCGGCCAATTCCCTCGCCCCCTCCATCCCCTCTGCCTCCCTTCCTCTCTCCGTGTTCCTGCGGCTCCTCCTCCCCCTCCTCCTCCTCCTCCTCCTCCTCCTCCTCCTCCTCCTCCTCCTCCTCCTCCTCCTCCTCCTCCCCCCACCCACCCCGCGGGCGCCCCAAGGCGCGGTCCGTCAGCCGCTGGCTGCGCTCCAAGCCCAAGAAGCAGTGAGCGGGGAGCGCGCGCTCCGCCCGTGTGGGCTCGCCGCCGGGTGCCGCAGGGGCGCCTCCTGCACGCCAGGCCGCGGCAGGGGTGCCTGCGCCGATCCTGGGCCCGGGAAGGGCTTGGGCCCGGGGTGGGCTCATGCAGTCGAGTCAACCCGCATAGGTAAGCACGGGCAGCCTTCCCAAGGGTACCCCCTGCAGCCTTGCCCCCTCGGCCCATCCTTGGCCGCCTTCGTTGGCCGCGCCCCGCCCGGGAAGCCTCGGAACGGGCGTCCAAGGCCCTTGCATCCTTGCCGCGGTTGACTGTGATGCGCCCGGCGGGCCCGAGGCAGTGGATCGGCGGCGAACTCCGAGCCCGACCCTGGCCGATCCAGGATTCGGGGCGATTCGACGGGCGGCGGCCGTGGGGGCGGGGCTCGGAAGTTGTCGAACACGTAGCGACATCCGAACCCTACCCCGTACTCCCGCAGATATTCACGAGAGTCGACGGCCGGTGGGGGTAACGGTAAGTCGGGCATGTCCCCCTACAGGAGGAAAATTCCCAAATAGTCAAAAATAGTCTGGAGTCGATTTTCCGACCATTTTCGGACTTTTTTTTGGGTTCCTTCCAAAATCCGCCTGTAGGAGGGCATGCCCGACCCAAGGATAATGTTAGTCAGGCGATCGCAAACATGGATCAAGGGGGCATGGATTAGCGACGGGCCCCGTTTCCATGGGAAATCGCAGATCCCCGACGCCGAACGATGCGGCACCGGCCGCATCTTGGGGAGGACACCTCCCCCGATCCCTGGAGGTGGCGACCGCGCGCGCCAAGTCCGTGGGTCGCGAATCCCTGTTTGCGCCCCCGAGTTGGGGCCTGAGCGCCGATCCTGGGCCCAGGACGGGCCCGGCCCCCGGATCGGCCCCGGCGTGCACCCGGCGCCCTCCTGCGCGCCAGCGGGCCGGCGGATCGCAGGAGCCTCGGGGCGCCCCTCCCGGGCCCCGTCTGGGGCCACGTCCTTCTCGTCGTCTTCGTCGCCGCCCTCCTCCTCCTCGGCTCCTCCCTCTCCTCCTCCTCCTCCTCCTCCTCCTCCTCCTCCTCCTCGTCCTCCTCCTCCTCCTCCTCCTCCTCCTCCTCCTCTGGCCTCCTAGATTAGAAAAGCTTGTTCCCTCTTGCGTTATCGTTTCTGTTTTGAAAACGTTCTCGAACGGCTGGTGCTGTTCTGCCAGGTTCCGTGGGCCCACCAGTGGCTGCGTTTTCTGTTCGGCGCCTAGGGCCGACATGTTTCTTCACTATCTTGAGTGCCCTGTTGTTCTGTCTAGTGCCAGTGCCGTCCTGCATCTTCCCGCTTTCTTTTCCTCACTCTCGGGGCCGCAAGGTGCTTCCATCTTCCCCTGGGCCGCCTCCTCTCAGCTTGAACTTTCTGCCTGCGCGACTTTCCTTGATCTCATCTTTCAGGCCTATCATGATTTGCGGTGCGCACCCAACCCGTCGCCTCCGAGGGGGGCTCTGCGGCTTCAAGGCAGGATGCGTGCTCGTTTGAAGTAGCTCAAGAGGCGGGATCATCGCCTGAGCCTGCTTCTTGGGTAGCTCCGATGCTCTCTCGGGAGGACGTGGGGAGTTTGCCAGGTATTGAATTAGGGTCGGGTCGGCCTAATTCTTTGCCTTCCTTGGCCTCGTGCACTCCTCCTTTGGCCTCCTTCCTCCACCTCCCCGCTTTTCTCTCTCCTCGCCGTCGTCTTCCTTTTCCTCCCCACTTTTCTGCTCCTTTGCCTTCTCCTCCTCCTCCTCCTCCTCCTCCTCCTCCGCCTCCGCCTCCGCCTCCGCCTCCGCCTCCGCCTCCGCCTTCGCCTTCGCCTTCGCCTCCTCCTCCTTCTCCTTCTCCGCGGCCCTTCGCGGGCAACGAGACATGAGCATTGCCTTGCTGATTGCATCCAAGCGTTCGGCTTGAACGAGGATGAGGCTCGAGGTCTGGGCAGCCGCCTCGAGGAGAAGGGGCAGGGCGACCTGCCCGACCTTGACGTGGACGGCGAGCTTTTTCCAAGGGGGGGGGCCCTGTCGCTGGCCCACGGTGCGGTGGGCTCAATGCCGCGCTGTGGAGACAAACAGGTCCTCTCCGATGGCCCCCCCTCTGGGGGGTTTCGGCGGGACCGTCGGACCTCGCCCTCCTCTCTCTCCCTTCGTGGCGTACGATCCTCCTCCTCCTCCTCCTCCTCCTCCTCCTCCTCCTCCTGTTCTCTCCTCCTCTCCTCCGCGTCCTCCTCGCCACCCTTAGCTCCTCTCTTCTCCCCCCTCCTTTAGCTCTTCCTCCTGCGCGGGCGGAGGTAGTTCTTGAGCAGTGCTCCCTTCAAGACGTGAGCTTCCCTGCCCCTAGTGGGGGGTCAGAGTGCGGGGGCAGTGTTCGCCGCAGCAGACCACCGGGGCGCTCCTCGGCATTCGCGGGGAAAACGTTGGGGCTCGCAAGATCGCAGGAGGGCTCGAGTAGGAGGAGGAGGAGGAGGAGGAGGAGGAGGAGGAGGGAGGAGGAGGAGGAGGAGGAGGAGGAGGAGGAGGAGGAGGAGGAGGAGGAGGGAGGAGGAGGAGGAGGAGTAGGAGGAGGAGGAGGAGGAGGAGGAGGAGGAGGAGGAGGAGGAGGGAGGAGGAGGAGGAGGAGGAGGAGGAGGAGGAGGAGGAGGAGGAGGAGGAGAGAGGAGGAGGAGGAGGAGGAGGAGGAGGAGAGGAGGAGGAGGAGGAGGAGGAGGAGGAGGAGGAGGAGGAGGAGGAGGAGGAGGAGGAGGAGGAGGAGGAGGAGGAGGAGGAGGAGGAGGAGAGGAGGAGGAGGAGGAGGAGGAGGAGGAGAGGAAGGAGGAGGAGGAGGAGGAGGAGGAGGCGCGCGGACCGCACGCCACCAGCAAGAGGCAAGCCTCGAGCTGGTGGTCCGGTACAATCAGCGCCCAGCCCACACAAGGGCGTGGGCCGAGCGGGAGGGCCGCCCCGCCTGCCTGGCCACGTCGCGCGCCAGCCTCCCCAGCGCCGAGAGCACCAGGAAGAGGCACACGTATGCGGCGGGGGAGGGGGAGACGACGGGCGACAGACTACAAGGGCGGCCCAAGAAAAACCAAACGAGTTTAATCAGACCCTGAGCTCGCTCCATCGGGAGCGGGTTCGGGAACACTGGCCGCTTCCAGCAGCCTCGAAGCTACAGCACGGCGGAGCTCCGCGCGGTCATCGTCGCGCTCGGCGGCCCCAGCTATCTTCACGCCCGTTCTGGGGTGACACCCGCGCTCCAGCCGTCTAATCGACATTCTCTGGTTGGCAGCGGTGCTCGGGACTTTGGACCTCCCTTTGCATTGCTGCGTGAGGTTTCGCAGCGAGCCAAGAGATCCGTGAGCCCCGCACAACTTGCAACAGTACACATGCAGGTGACGAAAAACGTCGTGCCCCAGGTCCCGAAACACAGAAAACTCGTCCGACGGCTCGGGCACAGCCACAGGAGTCGGGGGACCTTGGACTTCATCAATGCACACGCGCTGAGCTTCGTCAGCGGCAGCCAGAGCAACCCTCACTGCTTCCAGCTGCACGGGCCTAAAAGCCGCCCCAAACTCACGAAACCACTGGTCGCACACGTGTCGCTGGATCGAAGAGGGAGAACATTCACGATAGTCTCTGCTCGTGAGCAGGCTCTTAAGCGACTCCAGAGTGCGAGCCACACGGCCACAGCTCCTGCATTTATAAGTGCTGGTGGTCTCGCAGCGAAATAACACATGGCTAGTGACCGTGACCTTAGGAGGGGCAGGGGCTCTCAAGAGGCGGAGGGGACGATCAGGGTCAACTTGTGTCCATGTGCCAGACTCGAGCAAACGTTGAGCAGCCCATGCAATGAACCGCACCGTGGACTTGTGATATTTTAATTCACCAGACACCGCCGCACAGAAACCTTCAGCCAGCGTGTGAGAGCTAGCCCCTAGTTTGGCGAAAAAATCAGCCCACAGGTTCCCAGCTCAACTTTTGATACACAGCCCACGCTCCAAAACGTCGTCAAAACTCAGATGGGCAGGGAACCAAGAGAACTGGGGGTGATTAGACTTAAGGTCAAATATGGACCTCCAGATCGAGGCATGCTTAGACATGCCTTGGGAAAGATGCAGGCTCCAAGAGTTGCCTTCGCGCACCACCGCCTGGAGGTCCGAAGCAATACTCTGATGCTGCGGGTGAAAAGCCAGACCCTGCCGCACAGCCCAACGTTCAGCACGACCTATCGTCTGACGCTCACCTGGAAGCGCTCCATATACGGCCCTCAAGGGAAGCAGACAATCAAATAACTGCACCACGCTCCAACCAGCTCTGGAGACCTCTGGGACCCCAGAGTGAAAGCAGCTACCGTCAGTGAAAGACTGAGGGCCCCAGGGCCCAGAGACGTCCCCGAACTCAAAAATAGGCGGGTTGGCAAGCGGAGCGGGAATATTAGTGGGCAGAGGAGGGATGCCGTAAGTTAAATAATTAGAGTGTACATCGGGCTCCCCAGTAATAGAGGCCCGAGACTCGATCAGCACGCGCCTATGCTTAGCCAGGGCCTCAGGGACCTCGTCACCCAAAGCATCAACCCCGTCGTCGGTGATGAACTTAGAGCAGGCATACCACACATGTCCGTGCGTACCTTGAGGAGCGGAGCAGGCAAGGCACACGGGTGGTACATCATATTGTAGAGCAGAAAGTGCAGCAGGTAGCGGAACCACATTCCCCCAGACGGCCGCCAGGGCCCCACGAGCCCGCTGGTCATTTACAGCACGTATACCATTACGTAGCGCACGAAACCAAGGCTCCCCTTCTGGAGGGTCAGTGTTATAGAGGTGCTGCTGCAACCGACGTATCTGCCACCGCTGCACACCTTCGATAATCGCAATACGCACATCACTACGACACACCACCAGCAGCGAAATATCTGTACCAAGATCGCTGCGAAAAGTGTGGGCATTGACCATCGTCCTGCCGATGCGAAGCAGGCTGAGCCACACCGCCGACAGCGGACCTCGAGCCTGCTGCCAGGTAGGGTTGTCGGACATGATGTCTCTCAGACGGGTCCAAGCACGTTGAAGTCTCGATAACTGAACCCTTCCGTCCCAGACGAACGTGGCGAACTTGACACACACACACACAAGTAGTGGAGTCGTAGATCGGGTCGTATTGCGGATCGGCCTGCGTCAGCAGATACGAAGTAATGCCACCGTGCTGTTTGGCCCCTGCGATCGTAGCCGCAAGCTGCCTCAAATACTTCAGCGCAGTGTCTGAGATGCCTGACACGGAGCCACCGTGTCCAGCTGCTGGGAGAGCTCCAGTCCTCCAAAGTCGGGTTGCACGCTTGCCAGTTGCATGTTTCAGCGCAACGAACTTGTCACGACGACGTTTGAGAGCCTGTAACCTTTTCTTCTCCTGCGTGCGAACAACCCGACCAGCAGCTAATTCATGCCCGAGATTTCTCATCCATTTACGAACAGGTAGATGCAGCCGAATAGCCATCTTCGAGAACACCTTCCGAGCCACTTTGTTCCCAGCAATGAGCCCCGACTTTTTGACATGGGAGTGGAGCCCGAGGACCTTGGCATCTTCGGTGAACACTTTCACAGCACGCTCCAGGAAACGCACGTCCCGAGGATCCGAAGTGACGAGCTGAATCGAGATGTCGTCGACTAGGGCTCTCGGTGTTATACAGGGCGAAATGTCATTGAGCCTACGCACCGCACGCAGCGTGAGGAGGAAAAGCATGCCCGTCGCATGATTGCACCCAGCAAGGATGCCTTGATGCGAGCAGAACTGCACAGACAGGCTGCCGAAAGCTCGAAGACGTCGTGGCTGCCTGTGCAGATCCACCAACATCCAAGCTAGCCGCATTGGGAAGTGCAGCGCTTCAGCTTCTTTCAGCAGCTGCTCCGAGTGAACCATCTCGAAGCATTTGATCATATCTAAGAGGACAGAAATAGAAATATCACCGACTAGCGCCGCCATCTCGGCAGCAATGTTGTGAGCAAAAGCACTGTCTGAGGAGCTGTGCCCCCGACGAGTACCCCAAACAGCGTGGCAGTCATTACGCTCTTGCCAGTCAAAGGTGATGGGCTTGCGAACTTTGCCCCAGACACGGCACAGCAAAGAGACGAGCGCGATCAGTCGAGTCCCACCATCTGGTTTGGCAAGACGACACATCTCGTTACAGACACGCTCTCTAGGCCAGGCTAAGTGCATCTCGCACAGGTTAAAGAGTTCTGCAATCGCCGAGAAAGCCTGTCTAGGCAGGTGTATTAAGGCTCTCGGATGAATACCCATCATGCCTCCAGCAGTGCGAGTGGGGTAAGTGTGAACAGCATCCTCCACCTGAGCAGCCGTGATGCGCGGGAGCATGGGCCAGCTGGTGGGCCCTCGCGGAAACTCGAGAACGGAACAACCGTGGGACAACCAAACCTCCTTCCAGGGAACGAGTTCCGCATCGGCCTGCTGGTGGGGAGCCTCACGCGCCTGGTTGCTTAAAACCTCTTGGATGGCCTTCACTTTTGAGAACCTGTGAGCCTTCCTTCGAGGCGCCAGCAGAGAAAGCGTCCCTAGCCCATTGCCTCCAAGCCTGGGGCGCCGCATTCTCCGCGCGAGCGATTGCAGCCTTCGCCCGAATGTAGATAGTAGTGAGCATTCTGGCCACATCGGGACGTGCAAGGACGGCGAAGCCGCCATTGAAGAAATCACGCACATCAGAGTCAAGGCAACCTAGGACTTTTTTACAGCGGGCGATGTTGGCCATGAAACGATCGAACTCATCAAAAGCCAAAAAGAGCTTGCGACATTGACGAGGCGCAGCAGAACACGGAGCATCGTTTTCTTGCAAAAGCCTAATTTGCTCACTGAGATGTTCTCTGGCCTTGCCTAAGTGTTTGGCCCACCCAAGAGCGACGGCCCAGGCGCGTGCCTGCGGATCCTTATAAGTCCTCCTTCTGGGGGGAGTCCAGACAAGCTTTTTGAAGTGGACCTCAAGAGGGCCCACGTAGGCCTCGGCGGCAACGCCAACACGGTCCCACCTGGCGGCCAGCTCTCTTTCCACCCCTTCGAGGGCGAGATCCCAAAAATCAGCAACTTTGGCTACAGAGTCCACTTGCGGGGCAGCGGTCGTCAAAACCGCGTGCCGCGGGTATATAGGAGGTCTAGCGCAGCCAATGGGAGGGGTCGACGGGAAAGCTTTCGGGACCTTGGCCACCCGAGCCCAAACAGGCGTCTCCCGAGCCCTCAACGTAAGCTGGACGGGGAGGTGAGGGTAGGTGGTGGCAGCCTCCAACACACACGTGCGGGGGTTGAGCTTTGGCGCCAGCCAGCTGCTACAAATGAAATAATCAATGTGCGTGCCAGGTGAAACCTGCCTGCAAGTGGGCGCCTCAGAAACGAAAGCCAGTCCTCCAGCCGCCGCTATCCAGTCGGACTGGTCCAGGGCGGTGAGCGGCATGTTGAAATCGGCGCCGATGATCCACGGGATCTGCATGCCGTTGAGCACTGACAGGTACTCGATGATCTCCCACACCAGCTCGGCGTTGCACGGTCCGTACCCTTCGCCGTCCTTGAGATAGGCCGACAGGAAGACAACTCCTCCAGGCAGAAAGGACATGACGTGCGCAGCCACAAGCCTGCCAGGAACAAGTACATGACTAGCGCAGCCAGGGGGCGCCTTGATAGGAATATGTGACCTGACCAATACTGCAACTCCACCTGTAGTGCCAGGCCCTCCATCCTGGTTAGGCACAGCAGGGCCCCAGAGCCCTCTCCAGCCAGTGTCTTCAACTTGCGACTGACGCTCACCAAGCTTGGTATCAGGAACATGGTGCTCTTGCGCAAGCACCACGTGAGCAGTGCTGTCCACCAGGTAGTCGCACAGTGGACCCAGCGAGCTCGAGTTGAGCGTCACAATTTGTGAGTCGCTTTTGCCCTTCGCCTGGCCAGCAACCTTGACATCAAGTCGACGAACCCCTGGACAGTCGGTACCCTCTGCCACACGATGCCCATCGGGCGAGCGTGGTGAGCAGTGCGTGCTGCCAGGGTCTAAAGGATGCATGCCATAGGAACGACCAGCAGTAGAGCCATCCACCCTCGTCGAGCAAAAGGCCGAGCTCGTCAAAGCAATCGGCGCACATGTGGCGCTCTCTTCCTGCCCCCTGGTGACAGGTGAGTGTAGCGACCGAGACGATGGCGTCGCACCCGCAGTCGCAGTAGCTGCCCTTGCAGAAGACGCAGTAGGGGCAACCTGAACACATGTGTCAGACAGATCAGGCTGACTGTCAGCTGCTTGATCAAATTGAAAGGGGTCAACGTCAGGATCGTCCATGATAGAACGCCTGGGAGCTGAGGTCAGCTCATCTTGGGCAGTAGGCGTCGTCATTGCAACAAGAAGAGAGCATAGACAGAACAAAACCACAGCTAGCCGCCCGATCACATTACGCAGCGGTCGCACCACTGGTCTTGAACTTCTTGGTAAGCGAATGAACTTGGGCCAAATGACGCTTGAGCTTGTCACGAAGCTCTCGCTCCTTAGTTTCGTCAATCTCGTCATCTTCCCCGCCCACGTCGACATCAATACCACACTCTTTGAGATGTTCACGGCATGTGCGACCGTCCAGGCCATCGACGTGAGCATTAGCACGATCCTGATCTTCATCATCGTCGATATCCATGGATTCTCGAGCCTCAGGAGGAGTGGACTGAGTCCCCCCCCCCCCCCCCCCCCCCCCCCAAAAAAAAAAACCCCCCACACCCCCCCCCCCAAAAGAAAGAAAACAAAGAAAGAAAAACCCCCCCCCCCCCCCCCCCCCCCCCCCCCCCCCCCCCCCCCCCCCCCCCACCCCCCCCCCCCCCCCCCCCCCCCCACCACAAAAATAGGGCTGAGCGGTTTAGGTGCGCTGCAACCTCTGGGGCTTCCTTGAGTTTCTGCACCGCGCGCGCATGCTACGAGGTCGGTGCTGAACCGCTCCGACCCGCCCAGCGCGCGGACCACGGCATCGAACTGCTCGACCGTGGCCTCCATGCCTGGCAAGAAGGTGGACAGGGAGGGTGACTTATCATCGAACTGCACCGCGGGACCAACCACATGGGCGCAACCTCTCCTCCAGCTCCACGATATGTTTGTTAGCATCATGCTCGTCCTGCTCGACCTGCGCCAGGGCCTGCTTAGCCTTCTCCAGCGTCGCTCGGGCAGCCTCTTTTTTGACAGCAATACTGGAAAGCTTCGTGCGAGCGGTCTTGAGCTGGCTGGTGAGCCCCTGCATATTGGCCTCGTTGGGTTTGTCGGCCTGTAGATCGCCTGCAGCCTGCTTCTCGCTTCATAACACCGCGCGCTGCTGCGTCCTCAGGCCCCGACAGGAAGCTTGAGCAGACTACCAGCTTGGTGAGGCCGCCTCACGCTTGACCGCCACTCCATGCCTTAGCCGGGAGGAATAGCGGGCTCCTTGGCCTCATCTCCGGTACCATTATGAACTGCACCAAACTTCTGCTGCGCTGCTGTAATTCCTTCCAACTGCTTTTGCACTGGCTTCTCACGCTTCGTGGCCAAATTCATGAGAGCGCTGCACTGAACCTTGGGTGGGGCACCCCGTGAAAGGCGGAGCCTTTCGGAATGCCGCACTTCCCGCACCACTTCTGATCACCACGGTTGATCAAACTCGTTGCCGTAGGCTCATGCTTGCACCATTTGCAGTACCATGGGCCAGCCTCTGTGCTGCGCGACCTGGGCGCCATGGCAGGTCGGAAGAGCACGCGGCAAGGAGCCACGCGAGGCAAAGCAACAGGGCCGTGGTGGGGCTGGGCCGTGCGGGGCGGACCGCTCGGCGCTCTGCCTGGGGCGAACCAGGCGACTGTCGAAAGCTGGCCGCGGACTAGCGGTATCCACTTTGCCGGCAAGCGGCCAAACCTTGAGTCCAAAATGGCTACGGTCGGGGAGGAGGGAGAGAGAGGAGTAGGATGAGGAGGAGGAGGAGGACGAGGAAGGAGGAGGAGGAGGAGGAGGAGGAGGAGGAGGAGAGGAGGAGGAGGGATGAGGAGGAGGAGGACAGGAGGAAGGAGGAGGAGGACCAGAGGAGGATGAGGAGGAGGGGGAGGAGGAGGAGGAGGAGGAGGAGGAGGTCTCCGTAGCCATTTTGGCTCAAGTCCGGAGGCATTGCTCAAGGGACTCTGAGTTTTGTGGCGTGGGGGAATCGCGGCCCCCGTCAGTTCTCCCTGGCGTTCGCCCGCCAGGTTCATACTCACTATTACGTCCTGTGTACGGAACCTTGTTTCTCCTCCCAACATCGTCCTTCGATGGTTCCAGCGCCCGCTGCTTTCTCGTATGCGCCGTGGGTGCGTCCAGATGAGTGGACTATTGTCCAAGGAGGTCGTAAGGGGAAGAAGAAGCAAGGCCAGGGAGTTGTGTGCTCAGGCTGCGGTTGCAAGAAGAATGCTCCTGACGACTCTCATTGCTACCATTGCAGTGTTCTGTTGCCTCGCCTCGCTGTCGGTCATCCACCTGCTGCTCAAGGGTCCTGGGCGCGCCCTGCATCGCCCCCAGGCTCGTTCTTTCACCGCCGCCCGCTCATGGGGGGCAAAGGTGGAGGCTTCTCAGGCGGTGGCATTGGCGGCAAGGGGGGCAAGGGCGGCGGCGGCAAGGGCTGGGGGCTTGGCGGTTGGGCTGGTTCGTGGGCAGGCGGTGCACCTCAACGTGGTCCTGTCGAGGCAGGCCAGCCGTCGCCCTTGCCTGTGCCCAACCTGTCCAAGGAGGAGGCGTCGGAGTTGGCTCGTCTTTGTGGGAGGGCTGGTGACAAGGTCGGCGCCACCAAGTATTCTTCCTTCGCGAAGTCGCTCGCGGCGACTGAGGAGCGTGCTAAGCAGCCAGTCTCGGCGCATCAGGCTGCCCAGCAGCATCGCGCGCTCGTTCGACGTCTCGAGAAGCAGCTGGAGGGCGACCTGGCGAGGCTCCTCCGCCTGCAGTCCGAGGTTCAAGAGCAGAACGAGAAGGTCAAGCGTGTGCGTTGCGAGTTGCAGGAAGCCGACAGGGTGTACAATGAAGCTGTCCAGAAGCTGGCGGCTGATTCGAAGGTCGTGCCCAACGTTGAGAAGGCCAAGCTCAGGTTCGAGGATTTGCTGTCTGGCTCTGTGGACATCGGCTCCATCATCAGCTGTGACATTCTCGAAGACTTCGGTCATGATGACGAGCTCGAGTTGTCGACCGAGGATCGTGAGGAGATGCAGAAGCGCACAGCGCTCCTGTCCCAGGGCATTGCGGACATGGCCAAGTCGGTGTTCCAGCAGGCAGTGGACCAGGCCAAGTCCGCCCAGGCAGCACATCAGGCGCATAAGGCTCGTGTTGCTGGCAAGCGTCGCTGGCGTGAAGAAGGACTTCATGAAGCTGGTGGGGGTGTCGGCGGTGCTGAGGCCACTGCAGCAGCTGCTCCGGGTGGAGAAGTTGATCCCCCCACGACGGCTGGGTGCAGCCAGCAGGTGCCAGTCGAGGCGCCGCCAGCAGACGTTCGTGCGCGTGCAGATGCTGCTCTTCATGCCAGTGAGTCAGGTGGCGCCTCCCCCTCGTCTTGAGGGGGGGGGGGGGGGGGCACTTTCTTGCATTCGTGAATCGTGTGTTGCTGGAATTCGGTCTGTTTTTGACTTTTTTGCCTCTCGAACCTCGGTCATAGGTTCGAAATCCAGAGTCTCTGGCATCAGGCTTTTTAAGAGGTTCCAGTCGGTCTTTCGAGCCACCACTCCCGAGGCCATTTTTTGGGTTGCGCCATTGGGCACTGCCGACGTCCAAGGTGCCCCTGGATTCAAGCCCCTGGGGCCCCCGAGGCCCGTTCCTCTGCCTGTTCGTTCTGGGCCCTCGGCTTTCCAGCTGGAGATTGCCACTGTCAACGGGAACTCTTGGGGCACGTTCTACAAGTTTCTGGAGTCTACCTCGGCCCGCGTTGTCATTGGCCAAGAGCACCGCCTCAGAGCCTCAGACATCGACCAGAAGTCGGAAATTTGCAAGAATGCTGGTTTCAAGACTGTTTGGGCGCCTGGTGTGCTCGGCGAAGGCGGTGGTGTTTCTTCGGGGGTAGTTGTGGCGGCTCGTGACGGACTTGGATGCTATGCAGCTTCTGAAGTGATTCTTGCTGAAGGACGAGCGGTTGCTGCTATGGTTCGCGTTCCTGGTTGTGCTCCGTTCGCCGTCGTGTCGGTCTACCTGGTTCACTCCCAAGGACTGTCGGAAGCCAACGTGGAAATCCTTCGGGCTGTCGGCATCTTTCTTGAGCCCCAGGGTTGTGATTTCGTTGTCGCTGGCGATTTCAATTTCTCTCCTGGGGTCCTGTTTGGAACCAATTTTGCGGAGCTTCTGAAAGGGGTCATTGTGTCTGCTGAAGGGCGCACCCACTTCCCCTCTGGAGGGGGAGTGCCTGGCACCTTTGATTTTTTCGTTCTCTCTGAAGCCTTGGGGCGGTGCTTGCAGGAAGTCAGAGTGGTCGCGGAGTCGGTTATTTCCCCGCATAAGCCTGTGACCATTAAATTTCACCCGTCCCTCGGCTCTCTGAAAGCCCCCGCGTTCCGCCGCCCCCCCGACTTGCCCCCGTCGGCGCCTGTGGGGCCTCAGCCGTGTCCTGGGGATTGGTCTGGGGCGGTCGCCAAGGCCGAAGCTACGTGGGGCGGTCGCCAAGGCCGAAGCTGCGCGCAGGGCTGAGCTGTCGGGAGATCTGCAGAAAGCCAGGGATCTTCTTACGCCTGGGTATCGATTGTGGGCCAATGCGGCCGAGTCTGACTTGGCCAAGGTCTTGGGGGTTGAGCTTCCCGCCCTCGGCATGAGAGGTAAACGCCCCAAACTTGTGTGGAAATCGGTCATCAAACCTGCTGGCAAAGTCAAGGATCCCAGCCTTAGGTCCATCACGTGGCTGGCTGCTCAACTTCGAGCGCTCAGGAGCTACCTTATGTGTGATGGTGCGGTTCTTCCACCTGCTGGTCGAGGCGTGGCTCTCTACCTTGTTTCAGTGCCAGTCGAGGTCGCTGTACAGGACGACTCCGACTGGCACCAGGTCTTTCAGGCAAGTGCTGGCTTAGCTGCCCGCTGCCTGGATCACTCTCGTCCCCACGTTTCTTCCCAGCGCGGCATCGATTTTCGGTCTGGTCTTCCTTCTAGCCAAGGTGGCTCAGGGGGATCGCTCTCGTGTGCGTTGCCATGTCAGTCGGGCGACGATGTCGGCCTCTGCGATCCTGAAGGCCTTGAGCCTAGTGTCATCGCTGGCGCCCTGCGCGCGGATCTTGAAGCCCTGCTCGACTCGGTCGATCAGGCATGGTTGAAGGCTAAGGTCGCGGCTGCTGCTAGGTCTAAGGCGTCTTGGCAGGAATGGGTTCGAGAAGGATTGGATAAGGGCAGCCGTAATGCTCAGCGTGCCATTCGTGACCCCGAGCCGTGGACCCCCACGACCACGCTCACGTCTGGGGGCATCATTGTTGCCGACCCCATGGCCCTCTTGAAGGCCGAGGCCGGTAAGTTTGCGTCTATTTGGGGGGAAGGAGACGGGAAGGGCATCGATGACTCGTTGCTCGAACCCCTGCCTGTCCTTCAGCCTTCTGAGCTGCGGGCCTTTTCTAAGAAGTATCGGCTGTCCAGTGCTGTGAGTGTTGACGGGTTTCGTTGCCGTCATTTCGCGTTTCTCTGTGATCAGGCCCTTCGCTGCCTCGCCCTCTGGTTTCGTGTCATGGAGGCCACTGGCTCCCTGCTGCAGCAGATTTCCTGGGTTCTCATGGCCCTCTTGGGCAAGCCCACTGGGGGCTTTCGGCCCATCGGGGTGTTCCCCAGTTTGTGCCGCCTCTGGGGGCGGGCCCGTCGGTCGTTTGCGCAGCGCTGGGAAGTCAACCATCCTCGGGACTTCTGGGCGGCGGGGGCCAACAGGGGCGCCTCTGACGTGGTGTGTAAGGCCGAGGCTGGTCTCAGCCGTGGTGAATTGTCGGCCTCCATTTTTTGGGATCTTCGGAAGTATTATGAGCACATCGACCTTCGGTTGCTCTTTGCCAGGTGCCGCCAACATGGGTTCCCTCTCGGCATTGCTAGGCTGTCCATTCGAGCGTATGCTACTGCCAGATACCGGGCCCTTGGGGGCTTTGTCGAAGGGCCTCATTTCGTCGCCAGGGGCATCGTGGCGGGCTGCTCGTTCGCCACCAGTTTGATCAGGGTTTTCGCGCTGGCCAGCTTCGACTCGCTCCCTCGGTCGCCAGGCTTGGACTTCGACGCGTATGTTGATGACCTTGGTCTCAGCTGCGCGGGCGGCGCCAGGCAGGTCGTTCGAGCGCTGGTGGGCGGAGCTCGAGCGCTCCACAAGTGCATCGCTGATGAGCTGCAGTGCTTGCTCGCCATGGACAAAGTGGGGATGGTTGCTAGCAACAATGTTGTCGCTTCTCAGCTCCTCCAGAAACTTGGGCCCCTGGCTGGGCATGGGGTGGGCGTTGGAAGAGTTGCGAACTTGGGGGTGGATTACACGGCGGGCCGTTCCTTGAGGGCTCCTGGCCGAGGCCGTGCGGCCAAGTTTAAAGCTCGTATCGCGTCCGCGCTTCGCAAGACCAGGAGGCTCAAAAAGATCGGGGACGTCCTCGGGAGGCGCAGCTTGAAGGTCTTTACTGCTGGGCCTCTGGCTGGTGGGACCTACGGGTCTGACATTTTCGGGGTGTCCGATGCCGAGCTCCTGACCTAGCGTCGTGCTGCTTTGTCTTGTATTAAGCCACGCTCGCAAGGGCGATCCCTCGCAGTGCTCGGTCTGCTTGAGGGAGACCCGTGCTGGCGAGCGAGCGTGGCGCCGATTATCAGATGGTCGAAAGAAATCTGGCTTTGTCACACTCGTGCGTTCCCGTGGAGTTTGTCTTGGGCGGCTATGCGCGAGGGCTGGATGCAGACTTTCAGCCGTGACGTCCACTCGTGGTCTAAGGTTCGTGGGCCGCTCTCGGCTCTCCGCATGTGCATCTACCGTCTGGGGTGGGATATGCCTGATTTTACCACCCTCCGGGACGACGTCGGAAGGGACATTTCGCTGACGCTTCCCCCCCCCCCCCGTTTAGTCAAGGTCTTGTGTCGTGACGCGGTGCTCAGAAACCTTGAGAGGGATTCTGGTGACAAGTGCGCGGTGGGGTACAGGCTCTGTTGGGATGTGGTCAAGCAGCAGCTCTCGTCGTCCAAGATCCCCGCCGAGGCCACGGGTGTCATGAGAGCTCAAGCTTGCCGAGCGTTCTGGACAGGAGCCGATGCTGTGGCGGCTGGTTATGTCGAGGTGTCCAGTCTCTGCCCGTTAAGTGGTGTCGCGAAGGACACCCTACACCATCGGCTTTTTTGCTGCTCGGCGTGCGACGAGATGCGCATGGAAGTGCTACCCGATTGGCTAGTGGATGCTGCCTGTGATTCGTCGGACCCTGAATATGAGGAAGAGTTATTTCTGTATGGGGCGTTCCGCCACCCAGGAGATGTTGCCCCAAAACCTCTGTGTGATGGTGGTGTCTCTCTTGTGTGGCACGTCGAGGACCTCCCTCCTCCTCCTGCGTGTGGTGCTGACAGGGTGGCTCCAGGGGATAGCTTGTGGGGTTATTTGTTTATGGACGGCTCTTGCCACAGACATGTGGTTAAAGAACTGTCACGTGCGGGCTGGGCTGTCACCATGGTGGGGAAAGATGGCGAGCTCCTTGGTGTCCTGAAGGGGCCTGTGTGGGCCCCTTGGCCCCAGACTCCCCAGGCTGCAGAGTATGCTGCTTTCGCGTTCTGCGGTGCCTATGCCGATGGTCCGTCCGTGTGCTATAGTGACTGTCAGAATGTTGTGGACCACGTGGCGCTCGGTGCTGATGCGCTTTGTGGCAAAAAGGCAGTACACAGGTCTTGTGTTGCAGGGCAAGCACCATTTTGGTAGGAACCTGTGTGCTCTCCACAAGGTTTCGGCCCACAGGGATGTCGATGAAAGCGGCATTTCGGCCAATGAACGTTTCAGAAGACTCGGCAATCACTTTGCTGACCAGGCTGCCAAAGAGGCGGCACGTGTGCACCCCTCCTTGACTCCTGTTGAAGCTGAAGAGCTCGATAGGAAAATCAAGATTGCGCGGCTGGTCTTAAAGGCTGGGTCTGTTTTGCGTTCATTGTGGCCGCGTCTAGAGTTTCGAGGCACCGCCAGGTCCAAGCCTCCTCCCGCTTCTCTGGATGTTGGGCACTCGTGGGCGCAGGTTGGGTCCTTCTGGCAGTGCCGAGTTTGCCTCGAGGGCTCTCGGGCGCGGGTCCCTCCTCCTGGGGACTGTCCTGGACACTCCAGGTTGGCTCAAGGCGTGCTGCTGAGGCTGGGGCACAAGGTCGTTGCCTTCCCCTGCTCAGACCGCTCGAATTTGTTTGTTTGCTTGTCGTGCAAGTTTTACAGTAGCGGC